TTTCAACTTAGAAATAGCAAGTAAATTATCCTCTTCTTAACTCAACTACATCAAGTTAGTTCATCTTACATGAACAGTACAGTTTACTTAGCAGAATCTAGGAAACCGATGGCCTTAAATGAATTAAGTAGCCATAACAAAAGATTTAAAATTCACAAGATTCAGCGTTTTACTTTAGCAAAATGATATACTTAGCATAACAGTCAATAACCCCAAAGGGGACCTGGATGAAGTTTGTCATGGCATCTGAATCCTGTGGATGATAAGAATAAAAAAAAAAAAAAAAGAATGAGGTGAAAGTTTTGATTTTCTTGTGCACAACCTCTGACAAACAGAATTATAATACATACAAGAGACATTGCAGAACTCTCCTCCATCATTGTCAAGGAAAGCTGATAGAAATCCCAGGGTAGCAGGTCTCATGGCAACAACATCTTTGGTCTACAAGTAGGATAAACAATAAAAGTAAGCACAAGCATATTCTGAAGAAACTAAATCACTTTTTTTTCACAATAAGAGGCCTAGAATAATTGTTCACCCTTATTTGTTGTATAAGACAGGTTAGAATGTTGATGGTTGTACAATTGAAGGAGCAACTGTAATTTTCCAACCTGCTACCAATTGTTTATTATATTAATGCCATAGGCTGTTGTTCAATCATTCATTATTTCAACAACCAACTGTGTTTGTTCCAGTCTCACTCACCCAAATATCATCAATACAAATCCCCCATTCCCAGAAAATATGACTCAATGTCCTTTTAACACAACTGGTTTTGTCGAGCATGAAGTTTATTGTACAAGAGAAGGTGTGAAGAAGACTCATGTGCATGTGTGCACTAGGGCTGTTGTAATCGAGTAATCCATTGATTATTCTTACAATTAATCGGGTGATCAGATGAAAAAAAAGATCAAATAAAATATTGGTAAATCTAACATAACAGCAGTATTACTATCGCATATCAATATCAGTCCAATTTTTCACATTTGATCTTCGCTAACAATTAATTTTCTGTAGTCTAGAAAATGAGCTTGTATTAACAATAATAGCTCACTTTCTAAGTTAACCTGAAGAAAATCTGAACCTATATTCAGATTTTTATAGGCAGGCTCACAAATAGCCTGTCTATTTGTGAGCAGGCTAGCTGCCTGCAGTGTTCAGTCTATCTGCTCACCCGTATAAATAATCCCGCCGTGCTCGTCCCCGTCGTTCGCTCTGAACCAGTAGCTTCGGGAGGAGAAAAGCTGCCGTACTCCAAGCATCGCTCCCGTCATTTTGAGGATGTTTATTGGTTCCCTGAAAAACGACAAAAACCTGGACATTATCATGAATTAGTAAAATCCTCCAAGGCCCAACTTGAAAATTGGACGTTATGCTGCTAACACTTAACTTTCGTCAAGAACTCAGGGGGAAGTGAGAGCGCAAATGAAGTCCCGGTCGGAACACGGTGCGCTAAATAATAAAACATAATTTAACGAGGCTTCGAGGCAGATCAATTTTTCTCGAGGAATTTTAATAATCGAGGTACTCGAATCACTCGAGGAATCGTTTCAGCCCTTGTGCACAACAAGATATAGATTAAAAATTTGCAGAATTTCCTTCCTTAAACAAAATCAGACAAAATGTTCACCTTTCTTTCAACCTGGACAAGAATCTTGGGAAGTGCATTGTCAACGACTCATCTTCAGCCTTGAATGCAACACAAGAGATCCCACTTTCTACTCTGGCAAACTCTGCAAAAACACAATCACACCCGACTTTGGAGGAATTTTGCTGAGGGGGCAATGGCTGATTTTGGGGGGTGTACACAGTAATTGAGGATTTATTCAATATAAATACATAAACAAGTGCATTTTCAAATAAAATACACATTTTGTTAATACAAAAATGATGTAAGTACTGACATGAAGAAAATGCTGAGCAATCATGCTCAGATTTGCAAAAACGTCTGCTCATATGTTGCAGAAGTCTAAGAATATAATGTTTCCAATCACTGAAGTCTATTTCTTTATGCAAAGTCAATCTACTCAAGTATAAGTAGCAATAGTTCATAATATTACTATTATTGCTACTATTAATAAGAGTAATAAAAAAAGTACAGTGCCACCCAAAAATGATACTCAGGTAAATGTAACCCCTATTACCCAGTTCAGAAGATGGATAACAAAACTAGTAGCCTATTCTTGTTAACTAGCTTATTGATATATTGTATTTAACTAGCTAACATTGTCTGCCCAACAGCTTTACTCTACTTACTCGGTTTGTTTAGAAAAAACTGTACAAAGATTTTTGCCTTTTAATGATTTGGTGCTCTGATTCTAACACACCAGCGTGCACCTCTACACAGCAACACGTCTCCGTCACAAACCCGCTGGTGCGAGCATCTTAACGCTAATGTTGCATTTAAAACCCCATTATTTTGTAGAGACCATCTTTAGAGTAGAATAATTGTGTCCAGGTTGAACTGTCTCGTTGCTTTAGTTCTAGAAAAATGTTTTATGTTATCACAAATTTAATTTCCCAAATTTATTCTTGGGTTTGTTTGTTGTCTTCCTGTTTTCACACTCTCACCCTCCTCCTACCTTGAAAACATTTTGTTGTTGTTCTTTCATCTCTCCTCCAGTGCTTTTCGTTACAGTCAGTCACGTATGTCAAGGCTTTATCTGCTTGATCAGTTCAGGTGAGGACTGTTCCCCATCACGGTTAACTGACTGGTTTAGCAACATTGTCATGGAGATCCTGCGATCCTGTAGAACAGATTGTCTTTTCTGTAA